TTGACCGCCTCTGTGGTCTAGTGGTTAGAGTTCCTGGCTACAGATCCATAGGTCCGTGTTCGATTCCCTGCGCTACCAGATTTTCTGAGAAGTAGTGGGTCTGGAAAGGGGTCCACTCAGCCTCGTGAGAATAATTAAGGAGCTATTTCAAGGAAATAGCGGATCCGGTCTAGAAAACCAAAATTAACGGCCGTGGAGATTCGTTGCGCCGACGACGTGACACTCTCTATCCGCTAAAGTTGGCACTAACTTCGCCGACAAGGGGCGGTCGCTCGGTCGGTATAATTCGCTTGCGGACTAAAAACCACGGATAGAGGATGTCGCTAAATTTCATTATTTACTTTCAGTTCATTTAATGGCGCTGTCAGGAACAGACTGTACGGTGTCGAATGATTCATTAATAGTGAATAATGAATTTGAAACGATGTCGAATGCAGTAGTCGTGATCTACTTTAAGGTACTATTGCTACATTTGTCCTGAGGGACTGAGGACAACAATGGAAAATCTTAGTCAACAGAAATTCGAACCGGTCACCGCACGAATATAGGACAGCGTCATTAGCGCTTGAGTCAGTCTACTCGAAAACTACAAAAAAACTCAGTCACGGTAGCCGGCCTTAGGATCGATATTCAAACTCGCGACCTCGGAATTCAAATAAAGGTGCTAACTGCTGAACCGCGACGTTCTGTACAGAATTTTAGAAGGAAACGTTTTGGAATGGATCGCTTGCAGTACCTTGGCCGGAAATAGGAGAATATGTTATATCACGGGTAGGGGGGAAGGTTGGGGTGAAATATAATATATTGAGCAAGCTTAGGATAAGGCCGCGCCATAGCTCAAGCGGTTAGTCGCTGGCTTCCCACCGCGGCGGCCCGTGTTCGATCCCGGTTCTGGTCAAGTGGGATTTGTGGTGGAGAAAGCGGCGCTGGGGCGGGTTTTCTCCGAGTATTACGGTTTCTCCTGCCAATCTTCATTCCACCAATTGCTCCACAATCACCATCACTTATCATCTTGGGTTGCGGGCTCCGTAGTCTAGGGGTAACGTTCCCACCTCATGACTCAAGGTACGCGGGTTCAAACCCGGCGGAGGTCGTGGAATTTTTAAGGGCGGAAAAATTCAGGGAACAGGTCCTCCGGGAGGGACTTTAAGCCGTGGGTTCCGTGTCGTAGATTTACGATATGTAAAAGATCCTCATGTCTCTAGGAGACCTCTGAGCAAAATTAGGCAACAAATTTCCCGCCCAAGTAGTTTCCAATGCCTCTGGTAGATGGGGGAAATATCAGGTACCGAGGGCCGACCTCGTTGGCTCAACGGGGCTGATAGCACGCACCAGTACCGGTAGGGTATGGCGACAGTATAAATTAAAGAGGGACGCATAATGGACCAATAACTGGTCTAAGTGCATGGGGAAACCCACCCCCTCTAATAATAATAATAATATCATCTGGGGCTGGTACAATAGGCCAGAAGTGGCCGCAGTACAAGGGACTTAGTCCCACCCCACTAGCAATAAAAGAAAGCTTAGGATACATTCAGAAAGCAGGAATCAGCTTTATATGTACGAATCTTTCGAGTTCCAGGTCCCCTTTTAGGCATGCGTGAGCGCGGTCGTAAGTTCAGTGCACTTAAAATGTTAAACAGAGACATGGATTATTTGACTATAATCTTGCCTGTACGCATGAAGGAGGAGGAGGTTATATGCAACCAAATGACGTAGAAGTGGCTACTAAAAGATGCTAGAGCCTCTGCAGAAATGAATAAGAGAGGCAGTAACAGAGCATTTGCAATTCAAATGAGAATCTGTCTTCTTCTGGTAATGCTGCTAGAGAGCATTGTAATCTGAAAGGGAGACGAGAGTAATGATGCCGAAATGATGATCCTTGCAAGGCGTCCATGCAGTGAAAGTATAATGTGGAGGTTATGGCCATCCGTCCATTCAATGCATTTCCATGAAATGAGATATGGCGGGTCTGCACTAATATTCGCTGTGAAAATTTAATTCACGTTCGTATTAAACCAATATATGAATTTATTTATTCGCAGTTCAGATAATTATGCCAATTTTCTTAAGAACTGTTCACCGTAAAAAAAAAGGTACATAATCATAATAGTATGACGGAATAATCCATTGCTATACAACGGCTCGGTAAACACGGCCTAAGAGCCGGAATAACCGCATAACCGGCATTTAATTTGCTAGGCAACGGCAAGCAAACACCTGTTTCCGCGGCAACGAATCTTAACAAAGGAATTTCTGTGACAACAAATAGAATAACAGAGAACTATTAACAGTTCGGCGTGGTGACATATTTGGGCCACACGGTACTTATAAAAGGGAGTTCATTCGGCATGCACTGTCTTCGCTCGCTCGGAAGTCGGGATCGTGGGTTCGAATCCCACTCAGGGCATGGATGTTTGTGTGCGTTTTTCTGTGTTTGCCTACAGGTAGAGGCCTTGCGACGAGCTCATCACTCGCCCAAGGAGTCCTACCGAATGTGTAAGATCTAGTAAACCGAAGTGAAACGGAGAGTTTCATGGAGATAGGCCTAGGCCCAAAATTGGGGCTGTAGCGCCACAGAAAAAAACAGCAGTCCTTGATTCTTCACAGAGATTCGTCAGACAGACGGCGTTCAAAAGGAGTTCAATGTGTGACCTGTTATAGTTGTCTGTAATTGTAAAAAAGTACCACTAAATCCAATCATCGAATCCAGAACCCATTATTTTTCGTCACGCTAAACCCTTACACGTCATAACATACAGCTGATTAAGATCTGTATATTTTATTCAAAACATTTTTCAATATAATAACATACAACTACACACTAAGAAAACACTTTTATATTTGTACGTAGTGTAACACTTGCCGGTCACGGTAGCCGAGCGGTCTAAGGAATACTATCTTCGCTCGCTCGGAAGCCGGGATCGTGGGTTCGAGTCCCACACAAGGCATGTATGTTTAGTATGTATATGCGTTTATTCTGTATTTAGGTAGAGGCCTTGCGACGAGGTGACCACCCATCCAAGGAGTACTACCTTCTGTAAAAAATGATAGTGAAACTAAGAAATCAGCCCTTTGCTCCAAAGTTAGAGCAAGAGGAGAGGAAAATGTAACACGGTGTTCATTACCTTCACAGAAGTAATTTGTGCCTGTAACGCTTGAACAGCAAAGCTTATACAAATATGAATTCGGAAAAATTGAATGGAAAATATGTATAGACCAATATAATAGTGGATTGTCGTTTATTATCCGGAGTATTTCTCCCACTACGACGCACCCTTAAGAGGGCGAGCGGTAATGATATGAAGGGAAGGCGATACTTCCCAGGAACAATCGTCCAGCTTGTCGTCAGTCACTGTAAAATTCCAGACTACTGCCTGGACGTGATTCTCATCGCCAAGTACCATGCTGCCCTGCTTGCTGTCTGACTTTGCTGCTTGACAATAGCAGGACCTTTCCCCTAGTTATAAGCAAGAACACTCTCGCTTGCACTGTTCAAAACCTTCCTAGGGAGGTTCAAATATATTTTCTTGGAGATATCAGTTCCCGTCATACGGTCACCGTAAATACTGAGGTATGCAACCCACCGAACCGCAGGATACTGTTTCAGTGTTCGGGTATTAAAGCCCTTTACCGTCTTCGCATGTAAGCCTATTCTGTGGGTTCAGTAGACACCTTTATTATTATTATTATTATCATGGCTCTACATCTCTTTGTTGGGCCTTCGCCGCTTTTTCAGTTTCTCAAACCTATACATATTCAGTAGGACTCCTTGGACGGGGGATCAGCCCCTCGCAAGGCCGCTACGTACATATAGAACAACAAGAACGCAGAATAAACGCACACACATGCCTCAAGTTGGTGCAGTTTACGAAATATGATGCATTTTCGCAAATTCCACCGTCAACATCAATGCACTTTTCGACTCGTGTTGCTTGTCTGAGTGCATCTTGACGTTCCTTTATGCAGGCGGTAACCAGTGTACAGTGAAATAGCTCTATCTCGGAAACCGTTCGGAATAGGACACATGTACATACATAATCTTTTGCTTACGATGAGAGATACTATGACCTCCCAGAATATTGACCTTTCTTTCTGGGACACTCTGTATATTATCTTGTACTGGCCTTCATTAAATTGTAATATAAGGTCTTACCGCTGCTACCCTCGTTTTGCTACAGTATGGACGGAGGTCGCGCCTGTTAAACGCAGGGATTTTCTTGGTAGAGCTGACCTTGTTTATAAAGGTTTGGAAGGTTATATTCAAAGGAGCACCAGAATACCTTTGTGAAATCCAGTCTAGTAATATCGGGCCAACTTGCTGTAATAAATTCTGTTCCCAACGAAACCCAATCAATATAAACTGGGTCAGAACATCTACAGATTCTGTACAACTGAGATAACTGTTCGGACACGCGATGCGTACACACCGCTGCCTAAATGACACGGAATGTACTGCTGTTCGGATTATCACCATTCTCATGAGGATCGTGGGCTATATCTGGGAAAGCTCTATGTGCTGTTAATTCAATACGCCTTCTAGATTATGGAGTAATTGGTCACCTTTACAGTACTAGAACACAGAAGTATACTAGCTTTCACTCACTCATGGAGCACTCATGGATCCGTTGCTTTGAAACTGTTTCTTCTATTGTCGCGTGCATTTTTTATTTCCGCGGGAACATATTTACTGAGCCGTTGCCTAGCAAGAAACTATTCCGGCTTTCGGCGTCATGTCACAATGCGTAATTTAAATGGCTATATTCGAATATTTGAACTGTAAAATTTTATTAAAACTGTGATTATATAAAGATCTATTTTAGATTTTGGAGCATCTGGACTCGAACCCAGGCAATTCAGGGGTTCAGTGCAGGATAAGCCATTCTGGAATTACATTAGTAAGAGCACACACTCCATTTTGCTGATTCCAGAATGTTTAATCGTGTCCACAATTGTTTGTAACTGTAAAAGGTGATCATTAGAGTGAAAGTTGTACTCACCTCATCGGTGAGGTCACCCAAATGCTGAATGTCCTCTGTCTCGAGGCGTTCTTCTCGCTCCTCCCGACTCTTCACTTTGCGTTCCTTTACTTCCTTCACCATCCCAGCGGGACCCGGGACCGCAACCCATTCCGGTCCTGGAGGGTCATCGTCCGTCTTTCGGTGCTGCAACAAACCAGGCTCACTACAGCATCTGAATATAAGCTGACTGGATAAAGCAATTACTCCTCTCCAGAACAGAAACAATATAAATCATAGTATCACTCCTCACGGAAAGAGTTCAAGAATAAAAACTGTGGGGTGAAGGACGTCTTCATCCTAACTTGTAGTAAATTAGAATGATCAAGTCAAGGATGTTGAGACGTGCATGGCATGTAGCACGCATTGGATAGAAGCTGAATGCATACGGGATTTTGGTGGTAAAGCCGGAAGTAAATAGGTCACTAGGAAGATTTATACGTAAGTGGGAGGATAATATTAAAATGGATCTTAGAGAGATAGAGTGGGGTGGTATGGACTGGATTGATCAGGTTCAGGACAGAGATCAATGAAGGACTCTTTGGAACACGGTAATGAAACTTGGGGTTGCATAAAATGCTGGGAAATTTTTAAGTAGCTGCAGAATTGACGGCTTCTCAAGAAGTGCTTAGCTCCATGGAGTGAGTGAAGGATGTCTCTCCTAAACACTGAATTGTTGGGAAATGTAAGACCCGTTAAGTTCCTCACAGTAGGGAGACGCGGAAAGAGAAAAGGCAGAGGGGTCAGCGAAAGTAGATCGTGTATCCGTGATCTGTCTGAATTGCTGCACCGTACACTGTGTACAGGGTATACAGACTCTCAGAAACCTCTACGGCTTCAGAAGGACCAGTACTGTGGCTATATAAAACTATGGAGTTAGGTCGGGCCATAACTCAGGGGGTCAGTAGCCGGCTTCCCACAGCGACAATCAGGGTTCGAGCCCGGGACAGGTCATGTGGGATTTGTGATGGACAAAGTGGCATTGGAGCATGCTTTCTCCGAGTACTTCGGCTTTCCCTACCAAATCCCTTTCCAACGACTGCTCTACAACCATCATCTATCATCTGGGGCTGGTACAAACAGTGGCCGCAGTACCAAGTGGAATCAGTCTGCCCCCATGAGAGAGAGAGAAAACTGTTGAGTTCAAAATTATTGATAACTGAATTTCAGTTGTAGAAGATTTATATTCAGGCATGGTATTCATCAAAGCGTCGTTTCAAAAAAACATCACAGAAATATCAATTCTAAAGACAAAGTAGTTATTAGGATTCCAGGATAAATCACCAACAACAGCTAAAAGTGTCCTGCATGATGAATAAGCTGAATGTGGCCACGCCGAAATTCGAATGTTCTCCTAAGGCCCAGCCATGAAAACCACAGAGTGCATATTGCTGAATTTAACAGGAAATAAACTAATCTTCAACACAGTGTGGCACAATTACGAGAACGCTAGGTGACACAGCAAGAAGAAACTTGAATTTCTATAAAATTATGGCGCAGCCCCATTGCTATATGGCTAAGAGAGTCCTGAGCCCTAGCTAAAGAACAGGACGACCGAACTGAAGCAACTTCAGCGAGGATTTGAGGTTCTCACAGCATTGGTTATAAATGTTCTATCTTTTTGGTTACAATGCCGTGTAGTAAGTTGAAAATAAACATATGTTTCGGGCGAACATATCGCCTTCATCTTCAGGGTTGAAGAATAAGCCAAACAATAAACCAGCATACAGCAGATCTATTTCTTCGACCATGAAGATGGAGGCGACATGCTCCTACGAATCTTAGTGTGAATTTTAAAGGACTGAATGACATAATATCTCAGAAGACAGAAGAACTTCAACTCAATGAGGTTCCTGAGGGCTGTTGCAGGTTATAAGAGAAAATAGTGCATGAGGCGCAAAATCATCAGACAACAAATATATCCGAAATGTTATATGAAACAGCTGAAAACTGGCTCCACCATTTGGAAATAATGAATGAAACAAGGTTTGCTGAAATGTTTTACTAATACACAGAGAAGAGTAGAAGAACAAGAGAAGACCACGCAATAGACCGGAGGACCAATTCTGATTTGAACCTGAAGTCGGAACATTTTTTTCCCTTGGCACTACAGCCCCAGTGGACCTAGGCCTACCTCCATGAACTTCTCCGTTCACTTCGGTTTACTAGATCTTATACATTCGGTAGGACTCCTTGGGCGGGTGATCAGCTTGTCGCAAGGCCTCTACCTGTACACACACACAGAAAAACGCACACACAAAACTAAACATCCATGCCCTGAGTGGGATTCGAACCCACGATCCCGGTTTCCAAGCGAGCGAAGAGAGTACATGCCTTAGACCGCTCGCCTACCGTGACCGGCTGAAGTTGGAACATTGCAGCAAGGAAATCCTTGTAGTAGCAGATGATGATGATGTACTGTATTCATATATATTTTTCAAATGCATGGAAACTGAAGGGGAATTGTATGAGTTCTTGTTATCTCAATTATGTCAAAAGTCTCCAGATCGGTATCAGAATATCTTTTCTTCCGTTTTGAAACCCTTTGCAGTCGGACAGAAGCAGACAGCCCCGTCTCAACACCTGTTGCGATACGGGCAGGACCACCTGGCCTCCAGAAGGCCGTCCACTTGGTGCAACAAGAATAATAATCATCTCCACATTGTGAGGCACACCTGGTCCCGGGAAGCCACCCACTCCGTGCCACAAACTTGAGGATCGCCGTGAGATTTGAGGTTCTCACGTCGGGCACTATGAAGCTTGCTGTCTCCCGGGATGTGACAACGTGTGGCCTGGTAGGTAAGTACAGATATTCACAGGAACTTGCTGCTCCCATCTTCAGGGTGATGGAACCAGCAGCTTTCTCCGAAAAGGTGGTAGCTACCTACGGACTACACGGCGTCACATCCCGGAATATAAAAATCACCTTGAGGGTTATTTCCCCCCACCATTATCACCAGTAACGTCCATCAGTCACCGCTGCCTCATCTTCGACAGAAATTAACCTGTTAAGTGAAGGTCCGAAGTAACCTAAGAAGTTCGCTCCCGTCTCTGCGGGGTTTTAATAGAAATTACCTCATTTCGTGCTGATTTCTATTTAGAGAATTCTTCTGTTAGCATTTTCCAGGGAAAGACATAACTTCTGTTGTCAGAATGTCTCGAATAATTTTTTAACTGTGACACTATTCTTTCGTCGGTCTTTTCAAACGCGACGTACAATAAAATGAGACGAAAAATGCTTCTCCGCGACATGTTCCAAGCGAAATATAGAAGCAATTAGTTTCACTCTCACGACTGACGAATAAAAACAACAGTTTACAGCATATTTTTATCTATATTTGCTTTCGTATAGCAGATGTAAAGTTGGCAATGTGCGTATCATTCATGTTCCACATCGATAAGTTATTTGTCCTTACTGAAAACCGACACATAGGAGAGAAATGCGAACTTGATCAAAAGTTTTGTTTCATAAACGCTGTGGAAGGAACTCACTTGTGAGACGCATGCGAGAATGGGATGTTAAATTAAATGAATATCTGGGACTATAAGTTGCTGAATTGGAATTACATGAACTGGCGAACTGGTGGGAGAATTAGCGAACTTCTGTGGTGCCAGTCCATATATCTGTGTACTCCATAGCGCCAGTATGTACGTATATTATCAATGAGGACCTTGTCACAAGAGTGGGTATCTGTCTCTCTAGTTACCGTATTTACGCATGTATAGGCCGCACATTTTTTGCCAAAAATTCAAGAGGAAAACTGGGGTGCGGCTTATATTCGAAATATTCGAAATCACACTTCATTTAAAAAAAATATATTCATAATTAGTAATACAGAGTGTTCTACTCCTGAAATAATATTCCAAGAAAATTATTTTTTCTATAATTTCTGTCTGAAAATTGTGCTGTGGCCTATACACGCACGCGGCCTATACATGCGTAAATACGGTACCTTTCTCTTATTCTATGTCTTTCTTCTCCTTTCATCTTCTTTCATTTCCTTCTTTTTCTCGTTTGTTTCATTTTAAGCTTCTATGTATTACGTGCGTGAATGTTCATATTAATCGCCTGCAGTGCACATTGTCCGAGTGTAATACTAACTGTTGCCTGTAAGTATAGAGCTACGACCGAGGAGTTTGCCTCAAAATTATGAGCACATGTCGTCTTTGTGCCTGCGGGGGAACATGGCGGCCGATGACCCAGTAGTGCTAACAAGCCCGAGGGCTTCCCGCGCCGCATTCCTCCATTCTCTTCTGATTCGAGGTTCTCCATGTTTGTTTTCATTTTGTACAGGAAAGGGCGATGAACCTCATATGAGCACGTCTCAGGTTCAGCAAATTGCACGTGGAATCCAAACTCCCCTCTAACGAACGGAATCATGAACATGTCCGGGCATGGATACGTAACAGAACGGTGCACCAGGACCACGATTTTCCTTCAACTGTCTAGCCACTAAATATCAAAATATGTGGCTTGGCCTAACTAAATGATACAGGATCTCAAAGTTTGTATTTTTTCATCTTGTCAAGAAAAAATCCCGAAATTTCAGCACTCTATCTCACAAAATCCCGCCACTGCAACAAATTATGGGTCGGCGCACACTTCTACACATTATTGCACCATGATTTATTTTCATGAGACATTTTTCTCCACCTATAATTTCCCAAATATTATCTTCCCCTGTGACCTTTCGTGACACCATTTGTATGGTAAATATTTTTTTTCTTTGGCACTACAGCCCCAATTTGGGCCTTGGCCTCCCTCCACGAAACTCTCCGTTTCACTTCTGTTTACTAGATCTTAAACATTCGATATGACTCCTTGGGCGGGTAATCAGCTCCTCGCAAGACACAGAAAAACACCCACAAACAATAAATATCCATGACCTGAGTGGGATTCGAACCCGCTATCCCGGCTTCCGAACAAGCGAAGACAGTGCATGCCTTAGACCACTCGGCTACCGTGACCAGCATGGGATATATAGACTTATTGTTACATCAATTTTGAAAATCCGTGGCTATACTGGAAAACTGATTTCAAATCTATGGTACCGCAGTGAGCCCCAAGGCCATGGTCTTTCCACCTACTGTTGGCCATTTCATTCGGTGGTTATTACTGGGAGAACCACCCAGCTGGCACTAACCTACAAGTTTATATCATCCTGCCAGGAAGCAGCCTAAGAGTCAAGATGATCAACGTCGGGAATTGAACGTACCTCTGTCTGTTTGTGCTCCTGAGTCTCTGTGTCCTCCGTTGTGTTGGTGGTGACAATAGGGCCAGAGTCTCCCACCACCTTCCCATCTTCCAGCACCACTTGCCGCTTGACGCGCGTCTCTATTTGACGCGTCGTCGTCAACTCCGTCTTCTTCTTCGTTATCCATTCTTCTGCAACCGAGAAAAAAGGAGCTAGTTAAGCGCCTTATTTTGATCACATACCACTGTAAGTACGTACATAAATAAGCCTGTAAGATTTAACATTCTTAAATTAAAACTCTCTTCTATACATATACAGAAAAGAAGCCCCTAATTTTTAAATTTTTGTTTAAATTTCGTTGGTTGGGGTAGCCTGACACCACTTGGTACGTCGGCCATTAATTAGCTTATTGCACCAGCCCCGGATGATAGATGAGTATGGAACATTTGGTGGAATGAGAATTGGCATGGGAAACAGAAGTACTCGGAGAAAATATGTTCCAGTTTCACTTTGTCCACCACAAATCCCACGTGAACTGACCTGCGAACGAACATGGGCCGTACGGCCTCAAACAAACCGCTAAGTTCCGTGTTCTAATGCATTATGCAACTATAAGCAAAAAGCCTGTGAGATAAGTATCCTTTGCTTTAAAACATCATTCTGCGATTATGGAAACTTGTAAACAAACGTGCATTAGAAAGTTATTTTGAGAGTACAGAAATCTTTCTACTAGATAAAATTTGTTAACTTCGAAATATTCTCCTGCCCCAGACGAAGAGGTTAAATGTTGAAGAAAGCAGTCTTCTGGGANTTACCGTTTCTCACGGTGTTGTCGCTTGCAGAATTCTTATACTTTTTCTTCTACCCTGAAGATGGGGGCGATACGTTCCTCCGAAACGTCGGTTAACACCACATATACACGGTGCCAAATCCCAGAAGACTGCTTTCTTCATAGTCACCGCCGTGAAAGCCTCAAATCTTACACAGGTTAAATGTTCTAACGTAAACTCTTTCTTCTGCAATTATGGAATGAAAACGCCTGCATTAAGATTATGGTGTTCAAGGATGTGACACCATAGTTTGGCATACAGACAGGACTACAAAACAAACCGTCTTCAAGGTAATTTTCCAACTTCGTAGATGAAGTAAGTAGTAGGTCTGGTACGGGGTCCACTCAGCCTCGTGATGATAATTAAGGAGCTATTTCAATGAAATGGCAGCTCCGGTCTAGAAAACCGAAATTAACGGCCGTGGGGATTTGTTGCGCTGACCACGCGACACCCTCTATCCGCTAAAGTTGGCATTAACATTGCCGACAAGCGGCGGTCGCTCGGTCGGTATAGTTCGCTTGCGGACTAAAATCACGGAGTAGATGAAGTAACAGTTTCCTATAAAATGTTGGCACCTAGAGTTAAAAGATATGAAGTCGCCTGAGAAACTCAAATCCCATAAAAGTCTGTAATATAAAAGCACTTTTATGTAATTATAGAAATGGACCTGTAATTTGAACGTTTATATTTAAAAATAATCATCCGGATTACAGAAATAATGCTTGTTTATTCTAAAAATATTCCTATGTAGCTACCTACGCACGCCTGTTTCATCTTAATAACATTAGTATGTAAATAGAAAAACAAAATATATTAAATTTAAATGTATCGTTCTGATACTATAGAAAAGTATACAAACTTGTGTATATCATTTAATAACGTTTAAAGCACTAACTATAAAAACAATAAATAGCTTCACGAATTTTAGCTACTAGGTTTTATTACTTGTACATATCTTTAAGTCGTACACCTTCTTTATTAAGTAATGTAATGCCTTGTTCCAAAAAAAAAAAAAAAAGCCGCTCCATAGCTCAAATGGTTAGTTGCTTGCTTCCTACCGGGCAGCCCGGGTTCGATCCCGGCGTCTGGTAAAGTGGGATTTGTGGTGGAAAAACTGGCGCTGGGGCCGGTTTTCTCAGAGCATTTCGGTTTCCCCTGCCAATCTTCATTCCACCAAATTCTCCATCATCATAATCACCCGGGGCAGGCTACAATAGGCCAACCGGTGGCCGCCGTGCCGAGTGAACCCAGTTGGACTCCAACCCCCCCCCTTTTTAAGCGAATTAAAAAAAAAAAGCAGAGTGGTAAAAGGCAGACGAAAAAAATTATATATACGGATTATGCTTCCTGTAGTCCTGCAAACACCGGCAGTATACAATTTTGGAAGTCAGCTCGTATCTCCTTCTCTTACACTTGCATTATTCATGGGGCACCCACCCAACTCTGTATTTGGGCAATATGTTGAATATTTTCACCGCTCCGTTGTGTTCATGTAGGCTGTTTTCCGTGTTGGTATACATGGAACCCTCCTGAGGGAGAGATTAGGTTGACGAAAGTGTAAAATAATGAAGATCTGAATTTTTACTTTACGTTATAATATATTTTCTAAGTTACAAACCAAATTGGCCGCGCCATAGATCAAGCGGTTAGTCGCTGACTTCCCAGCGCGGTGGCCTGGGTTCGAACCCGGGTCTGGTCAAGTGGTATTTGTGGTGGACAAAGTGGCGCTGGGGCAGGTTTTCTCCGAGTACTTCGGTTTCCCCTGCCAATCTTCATTCCACCAACTGCTCCACAATCACCCTCACCTATCATCTGGGGCTGGTACAATAGGCCAGAAGTGGCCACAGTACAAGGGGCTTAGTCCCACCCCATTAGCAATTTAAAAAAAAAGTATTACAAACCAAATTATATGTTGAAGAATGCCGTCTTTTGTGATGTAGCGTCGTGTAGATATTGTGTGAACCGACGTTTCGGAGGAACATATCACCTCCATCTTCAGGGTAGAAAATCTGCGAGAGAGGAACCTGAGTGAGCAGGTGGCTGAAGGGTATTTGTTTCATTATTGAATGTATCAGTACTAGGGTTACCTAATATCCTGATTAGGGTTTCTCGAAGGGATGAAATTATTGCAGTTGCTAAGGCTTCCTTCAAGTTGTCGGGAAAAAAGTTTCTATTGTTATTAGACTGGGGCAATATCCTTTAACAATTAAACGGATTATTTCATCATTTGTTACATAAGCTTCCGTACCACTAACTTCGACTGTTTTATCATATATTCTTTTCTACTCCTATAAGTTAGTCAATGATGCACAGAGGCCGACGTTTAACGCCATCTCCTACAAATAAAACTCACAAATAATTAATCATAAACCACCGCTTTTATATAGGATGCACCAGGAGGAAAGGTCAATATTATGTGACGTCATAATAAATCACTTCCTCACATGAGCTGCAAAGTGCATTGATCTTGACTGTGAAAATTTCGAAAATTTATTATACTAGGTAAACAACACCAACTTTGTCACTTGAGAAACAAATACCGGTATTGGAAAAGTATGTAATATCTGTCTCTTATCAACAATTTTGGAAGTGTACAGTGAAATAGCCACAACATTTTGAATAGGTGGAGGAACTACGTCTCTCAGTAATTTAATGTAAATAGGGTCAGTGATGTTAGGCACATAGGAATCCATACAGCGCAACCGTTAGTACCTGAACCCAGCCCTTTTGAGGTTGAAAGTGCTATTGCAAAATTGAAACGGTGTAAATCGCCAGGTAGTGATCAAATTCCGGCAGAACTTATTCAAGCAGGAAGCGAAATATTACGTTCTAAGACCCATAATCTAATTACTTCTATTTGGCATAAGGAAAAATTGCCTAATCAGTGGAAGGAGTCTATTATTGTACCAGTTCACAAGAAGGGTGATAAAACTGACTGTAATCAAGAGGGTTCCGCCCCCTTCTGCTAGGGTCGGCGGACGTAGTGATTTGATGGTCTGTTTCAATAGCGTCCGAAGTGGACATCGATAGAATCACTGGTGCAGTTACTCGGAACGAGGTGCTTTGACACTTAAGGTGGGCCCATTTGTAACAAATTCAAGTTTCAAAATTTCTACTTTATGCAATTTTCTAGATGAAGTAAGTCACTTGCAAAATTCATGATGCAGAATCTTCCTTGAAAACCTACCAATTACTCAGCCGTTCAAAACACTGCACACTTTAATGGAATCCTAAGTTTAATAGCCGGTTTTATATAGCCGGCCAGTGGAATCAATGCTGAGCCAGTCGAATCCAATCGAAATCTTCACATCGTATTCCTATAACATTCATTTCAATAATATACTTCTTTATCCTATCTATAAGTAGCAGTAAAAATGCCTTTACAGGAGGTTTTTACTCCGTCTGCCTAACCCCTGCCCAAATTCCTTCTGAGTTCACTGGCCGATAAAGACCTCCACCCTCTCTGGTTTGCTGCACACCGCACGTCTGCAAGGTATGTTCAGATTATTGCCTAGGTGGCGTGACGTCATGTGCACCCACTGCGTATAATTCCTCACCCTTCAATGAATGAGTAATTACCCCCACCCTCTTGTCACGAGACTGCGTGACGTAATGCTTGTTTACATTACATGAAAGGTCAATTACTTCTGTCAACGTGACTTTGTGAATTGAAGAGCCAAAGTTCTTGTGTGGGGATTTGAAGCCCCGGCCCTTATACGAGAAAAGACCGCTTCAGAAAATGGAACCGCAATCGAATCAAAGCTGTATATTTTACAGTCACTACACTGTCTGAGCTATTGCATGAAACGCCAAGATTCAGACCTGGGCATTTTACCGCACTGAATGAGACCCTGTTAGGCCTTTAGTAAAAATAGCATTCTACCTACGCCTGAAAACGAACAGCGGTCGAATCCAAACCACACAGTCACTGTACTGACTGAGCTATTCTACATTCATGGTCCGACCTCTTGCTATTTGGTATGGGAGCGAGGAGGTATAGCTCAAATGCTCCACTCCGTCTCACCATCTTGCTGTTTCGATATACTTCATATAACTTCTCCCTCTCTGACCTTTGTTAGGGGATCGGCTACAGCATGTTTACGTCTGGGCAGCAGTAGGGCAAGTCAGGAGATCGTATTCGACTATGCGAAGGCCGGGTGCAGCTTCAATCTCCTAGGAGAGGATCCGTTTTCAGGGTGCTGGACAACGGCGGTTCTAACTGATAACAGGAGACACTTCTCCGGGACGTTTAAGAAGTAACTGAATACAGAGCTCTTGTCACACGGTTATTTAGAATCAGTGATGACGAAGATTTGCACCTTCACAACACATTCCTCTCTCACTCGCGGCACTAGTTCGGA